GAAAGCGGCGGTGAAAGAGATGGAAAATGAGCTGCACCCATGTGCTTGCTGTCGGACACTCAGTTCGAAGGCCCAAACAGCCTGCCCGGCCGCTAGCGTAGGGATGTCCAATTATCTTTTTCTTAATTAGGAGAAAGACCTGTTCTCTCGTTAATTGCTCATCAAGGGTAGAAGAAATGACTCAGCGTCGTTTTTGTTGGGAAACACCCCATGCAGAGCCACTCTTCCCTAGTGCTCCCAGAGCTTATCATATCAAAGGACTTATTTTGTCAATGGTGGCGGCATAGCCACGCTGGTGTGTACAGGTAGAACTGATCTGGGCTTCATTGTGATACAGTTCGAGCAAAAAAAAGATAGGGTTCTTCGTTTATTACAGCTTTCCGCAAGCAGAGCTGTGTAAAATGTTTGATCATGCTTGCCAAATGTACAGCCTTGTATGTACAGAGTGTGTTAGCTAAACAGGGAATAATCGACGAAGATTATACAGACCGTAGATTTCGCTCATAAATGATAATTTTCTATGTTGCGACTATCATTCGCGATAGGCATTGGTGACAAGCTATTGTGTGACATAGGTACCGCTTCGGCAGTTTGCTCAATTCTTCACAGCAGGTGGGCGTAAGTATCTTGAAAAACACTCTTCCAAAGTTCGCTAAAGACTTCGTTGCTAACGGCTGTGATGCTAGCATTTCTATGATACTTAAAGCCTGATTTTGATGTTATTGCATCACCATCTATATAGGCCCTCTAAGCACTATATTAAATATTTGCCGAAAATTAGTAAATAATCAAACACTAGTATTAGAAAAGCTCTTACTTAAATATATCCAATATAACCGATTTGGATCTGAGCCCTCTTTTTGTTTTAGAAAGTGTTTGTTTTAGAAGGGGCTTACGCTTACAGAAAACTAATCTTAGACTGTTATTTCAAAGTATAAAAAGCTCTCTATAACGTTGAAAGACGCGTAATCTTACGTTGTCCCTAATGTCGATCTATGATTGCGTTCCATATATCGTATTCCAAAAGTATACAAGGTATTGTTTTTCTATAATACTGTTTTGCAACGTATCGAAGAAAACACTGTGACGTGCCTTTACTTTCACTTGTTCATACCACTGCCAATCGAAAATCATGTTCTATTCATAATAATAATAATAAAAGCTTTGACAATCCGATCTTTTCCTGATGAACCCAAAGAGAATCGCGCATCGGATTCAGCGACGGTACGATCCGAAATTGAGAAACAAAAGACCAAACGGATAAAATACTTATATCATTTCGTGGCGCACTTTTTGTCTAAATTAAGCAAGTTACGTAAAACAGCACGCAAGGAATACCGACAGACGCTACATTGCGAAAAACGGACACGTCTCCTCTATTGCAATGTTCAAAGGCTCAAACGCCATGGACTAGTGCCTCTTCGCTATAGGAACTGTGATCGCTATAAAAGCATAGGGAACATTTTCAATCGTTAACATATAATGTACATGGTCTGGCATAGAGCAGTATCGGCGATCTACGAGGGATGTCAAGCTTGTGGCAGACCGCATGAATTTCATCGTCGGTTACCTTGATCCTATACTGCGTACCTTCCGGTCACCTTAGTATGGCAAAAGGCCTGCGGAGCAAGCTTATTACGGCACAGTGATTCGCCGCTGCAACAGGACAAAGACGGAAATACTCCCAGCTCTTAACAAAAAGTCGCGCTAGTTAAACGCAGGATCTGCTAAAGAATAGGGAACGCCATCAAGTTTTAATAAATGCATCTGTCGTATGTCGTAGGCATGCGCATGCAGAGTTTTCTATCATAACCGCTTTCCCTATCCTACGAAAAGTCCTTTCATTTTCTGCTCTATTGACACCCACAACAATGCATTCGGGTTACATACGCAGGTATATAAAACAAAGTTTTGCATTGCTCTATGCTTTCATTCACTATCTAGTGGCCAACGATATTGCAAAGGCCATCTGAGCTATATATACTGTCGCGGCAAAAATATTTTGGCAGTTTGAGAAAAATCACTAGCCAGTTTGAGTCTTCACTCTACATTTTTTTATCTTGGTCTTCATCAATTTTTTATTAGTATTTTAAGAACTGTAAAATGAAGGTTTTTAAACAATCAAAAGGCTTTTGCTTCGTTGTATATGCATATGTTACTTCACTGACCTAATACGCCGGTTAGACAGTCTTATCAACAAACGCTTGGCTGATTTGCGGCCGTCGGCGATATTGAAAGCACCAAAAAATCCAAACCTCTATATTATTTCTGTATCCGTCTCTTTTGTTACCGTCGATTTTTTAATTTTTATTGCTAAAGCCCAAGGGCATACCTAGTCGAACCCATCTCACGAACAGTGCAGCTCGACTGCCCTTGTTTTGATGGCTACCAGAAGGGTGGAGTAACTTTCCCAGATATGCCCTGCCTATAAATAAGTCTATAAATTTGACATAATTTATGTCATCTTGTTTAGAAAAGAGACCGTAAGGATAAGGGACTTTCGGAGCGAAGGCGGAGGCTTCTTTTGTGGGCAGCCTATATGTATGATATACAAGATAGCTGAGCCGAGGGGCTTTTTCACTCAGAAGGATGCGAAAGTGAGCCTGGCAAAGAAGCCGAAAGTTATATTGTATGCAACGAGTTTTTTTTTTTTCGCGATCTTCACGATTTTGTCCGAACTGCAAAGAGGCGAGTGGAATCGCGTGGTACATTTGTTGGTGTATCATCTAAGTGATTTCTGATTTATCAACGTAGACTCTGCTAACGCTTCGGCCTTTTACTAAACATTTCGTAGGTTTCGTTGAATATATTTGAGCAATGGCGTACTAGTTGTTCACACAGCCTAGGTCCGTCTTTATGAATTGAATTATTATACCAGTCAAAGGGGATCCACAGTTATGTAGTTAGGGTATACTGCCGTAAATTGTTCATTATCGTGTGTTAGGAATATATGGTACAGACTAAATAAGTGTTTATCAGCTAAATGTTTATGAACGTAATGGAGAAAAATTGTTGGCAGGAAGAAAAGTGACAACGATGTGTTCGCGTAGTACTTCTTTATCAAAATAGGGAATAGAGTACTACGGAGGAAATATCAATTAGAAAATGTATGTTTCTTTCCATTTAGCCAGGCGTATTCTATTAGAAAACATTGAGATAATAGGAACTATAAGCGCACCATTTTGCTGAAGCCTGTGTAAGTACTCATGTAGCCATTAATATGACCATAGATCTCATTGCTAACGATAATTTTGTTAAAGAATACATTTTGCTATATATATATACACATTTGTATGCACGCTAAAAAGGAAGGCTACTGCGGTTCTTTTATTATTTTTACTAAATAAACACAACGTTTTTTAATCTTTATTGTATTAAGTTACCAGGTTATGTATTTCTTGTCATTGTCCAGGACCTTTTGCCGTCAATCTACGAAATTATTTATTTTCATGGGAAATCTTCATGTTTTGAGACCCCTTTACTGTCAAATGTGTGGTTCCTAGTTTCCTTTGCTAGTAAACAGAAAAGCTAGAAATCCGTCGGCGCAAGGTACGGAAAATATGGAGGCTGCAATAAAACTTTTCTTTAGAAGTCCAAGAGACCAACTTTGACGATGTTTGCTGCATGCGGTCTCGCGTTGTCATGAAGCGGAACGATCTGATCTCGTTTGTCTGGTCCTTTCTCTTAAGTAGTTTGATTAATTTTATATGACTGAATCAAGTGAGCTCGCGATCAATTCTCTGGTTTGTAGGAAGCAGTTACCAGTGAATCAGATTCTAGCAGTCGTATCAAATGCAAAGCGTAACTTTTTTTTTGGATGAAAGTCTGTTTAGAACCCGAGCCTCTTCTGAAACTACCCATTTCGACCTTTGATTCATGCCTATGCACATCTCATCGCTGGTAACAGTTCCGTGCGGAAATCGTTCACTAAGGCCGCGTGACGCTCACTACCGAACGTCGAGTTGAGATAAAAGGTTAAACCGTAACTCCTTCTTAGATCTAGAAAGTTCATTACGTATTCAGGTTCCAAGCGTGTATAAACCCAAGAGATTTGAGATGGTCACCATCATCATGTGGCTACAGCCTATGTTTTCGGTCAATTATCAAGTTTTCTCCAACCGTCTTCCACTAGGAGTATCTTTAGATGGTCGTCGTCAAATTCAAACAGTCGCCGGCCAAGGGGGAGGCATCCTCTAAGTCCCGGACACCGTTTCGAGCAGTCATTTTAGCCATAGTATCGTGGTCGCGTACAGAGCAAGTGTCCTTAGCTGTTCCGGAAGCGTTTTGGTCTCTGTTTAGTACAAACGGTGTCAAAAATAAATCTTCTTTACTTACAACATCTATCTATCTATCTATCTATGATTAATTATTTCCAGTCGAGACTGTACCCGCAGCGCAATACGCGGACAAAGCGGGAAAAATGCCCTGGAACGGTATATTAGAAATAAACAACAAACAAGGGGAGCAAGAAAGCCGGTTTTTTGACAACGTAGGAACTTCCTTTCCAATCTAAAGACAACTTTTAGAAAATGTGAGAATAGCTGAAATTACAAACAAAGAAACGTAACTGGTTATTTTGCTGATTCAACAAAGGTTCTATTAACTCAAATAGGCTCTTATTTTAACATTTGCTTCACAGATGAAATCTAGAGGTTGCAGATGTACACATATTTAAACATATATTTAGTAGTACTTATTTTTAAAAATAACGATAACGCACATAATAAATATTTTCTAACATATCGTCACAGTCAACATGACAGACAAACTAACTAACGAAATGATGGGGTGAAGCTTTTCCCAAAGAAAACTAATATGAAAGACAAAGTTGGTAAGACCAGCCAGATAGGGCACTGTCGCCGAGATTCAGTGATCTTTGAACATTAAGCGCCCCATAGTGTTCGATCGTGCTGTAGGATACTTAATAGTAACACTAATCATCATTACCGCCGCAGCATCATTACTGAAATTTTGCCTCTTTTGGACTGTTTTCGCTGCAGAAAGCCACACATTTTAGGCGTAAACAGGACCACAATAAGCTGGACCCAACTATACGGCTGAGTCAACCGGGGATAGAAGCGACTCATCGTTTGCGGTGAGTGGGTCAAATCTGGTGCACCCAACCCAAAGTGACTTTGTTACCAAAAGACGCCATGTATTGTGATCAAATCTGTAATAAGGAGCTGACGAGTGAAATTAGAGTTGTTTGGCGACCACTTTGCGTCCTTGCTAATAATAATAATTGTGTAGCAGATTGTAAACAATGCAAACTGCAAGCTATGTTCGCATCGGTATTGTTAAAGCTAAGATAAAACATAAGAAATAAACAAAATCTGTTTCAAATTATAAATACTTAATAACAACCAACACATCCAAGCGTGGCTTTTAATGCTACGTTTTTCATCTATAAATTTACAGTTTTTTTTTTGTTTTTATTTGTTACAGCTACGTTTTTAATAGAATTAAGTCAGCTCCGCCAGAAAATTCACAACGAATTGAGTTCGCAGAACATGGCAAATATACTGCACTAGATCTTACGTAATCGAATAAAAATAATAAGTACACTTCCATGATTTACATTAGTCTAGTAATGCTCGCGATACGAAAACGGATCACTTATAAACTCATTTATGTATTGGAAAAACAGCTTATTTAGCAGAATTTTTCTGCGAGAGTTATATTTACTAAACGAACTGTTATGCACCTTTGACCGGCATACGTTTTACAGAGGCCTCAATGTTTTTATGTCATAGCGATTAGGAACAAGCATAGGCAAAACGCACCAATGCCTCAAGGCAGAAGACGTCAACGTCAGATGCAGAAACCGGCAGCCACCGCAACTGTAGTGCAATATCACTAATACCAGGCACCCCCTGATTTTAACAGAAGACGTCGCACGCTTCGTGTCTAGAGCTGACGCGACCGAAAAAATTCGCTAGGACAAAATGCTAGGGAAGGCAGAGGACAATGAAGGGACGCCTACTGGGGAGCACATGTTTTGTAGAATTTATCTAATCTCATACTGTGCTGTTTATAACCAGTTGCAGTAAGACTACATATATATATATATATATATATATATATATATATAGTATTTATTTCTTCATTCAATGAAACCTCTTGCGTAATTTGCGATGCATACATATATTCCGTTATATAAGACTGGGAGAAATTTTATTGCCGCATACCATTAATGTTTGTATGATCTTCGAAACTTATTCAAAGCATCTTCCAGGGGCAGTAAGATAAAGGATAATTTTAGTTGATCAACTTCTAGAAGAGCCTATTGTCACTTTAATATAGGTGCAAAATATAGCTTGAAGTATGTCCGTATCAACCTTTTAAGAAACAGTCATCATGCTACTAGCGGAAACACAGCATTACTAGCATTGACTAGCATGCACCTCTGGTCCACTAATAATTCTAATGTATATCTGTGTATATTTATTCCTTCTTAACATATGAATAGACCTTCCAGAGTTATCATACATGGCAGAAAGACCATTTATCTATAACGCGTTTCGAAACTCACATACTCGTACGTCTATACTTTTCTAACGATAGTGTTAAGTAAAGCGAAGAAACCTACCATTTTCGCAGAATAGCGCGGATTATCTTTAACGGTTTGAGATGCAAATCTATTTCAATTACTTTCAGTTATGGAACCGTTGAACTATTAAGAATGGGTAAAACGCCAGTGCACAAAACGTGTTGACCGTTCGGATTAGAGAGAGCGTTGCCTTACATGGTCCGGCTTTCATGGAAACAAACACTTATGTTGTCGCCTTAGAATACTTGGCATCAATCTTTAGCCAATGCCATTTGTGTAGGCGGTAAGACTGGCACGCGTTAGGGCCGCGCAAAGTATGCTCTTTCACCGATAGTTTGCCAGAAGTCTCCAATCAGCTAGAATTATCTCGACGAGCCGATTTCCAGAAATTAGTAGTATATATCGCACTGTCTAAAAATGCTATAACGCGAATAAGCAGGCGTTTGTTCATAGTTTAGAAAAAAAAAATAAAAACATCCAGAGCTCACCAGACGCTCTCCCTCGATACGTGATTTACGAGGTTCCCTTAATTCTGCGCCTACTCGTTCATGTTTCTGCTCGCTACCTTCATTGACTTCAACGAACGACGTTAATTCATAATTGCGCGGTTCGGCTGATCCGCCTCTGCTCTTTTTCGTTTTGCGTCTTCCTATATTGCGCTCTTCCCGGCGTTCTCCGTGCTCTTCCCCTATCGAACTTACTCTGTCGGACGTTCAGGTTCTCCGTGATCTAGCCATTTTCTCCCGGTGACTATCTCTTCTCTCTTTAAGCAGTCCCTGCTGTTAATTCCTCATCGTTCGGCGCTCTTCACGCGTCTTCTCTTACTCTCCCCTCGGACTTCACTATTTCTCACTCTCCCGCAACCGTGAGTTAGCTGTAAGCCCTCATTTTATTACCTGAGGGAGACGTGGTACACCTTAATGCTGGCAGCGTCAGCGTGAAGTTTGTGTAGCGGCTTCTCTTAGCCTTTCTAAGAGGAAGCGCTGGTGGCGGGTTGCCAGGGGGACGTGGGCTGTGTGGTCGGTCGGTCGGCGCTTAGCTAAGAAACGTGCATGGCGTGAGATTGGACCGTACTGCTCGAGGCCCCTATGTGCGGAGTTCGCGTGAAAGCAGCAAGATCATCCGGCGTCAGTGAAAAAGGAAAGACGAGGGACAGGAGAAGGAAAGAAGCAAGCAAGAACGAGAAAGAGAGGGAGAAAGAACGCAAGAGGGCACGCGCACACACAGAAGTACTATTAAGTAAAAAGTTAACTGCCACTGTCTTTTTATGCTGGCGCGTCTGCAGCCCCTTTTGCTGCCAGTGCCGCCGATGCTGCTGTTGCCTCGATCCACATCGCACCACTGTTCATCGTCGTCTTCGCTTCTGTCTTGCAAATGTCTCTCTTGCCACTGCAGTGTAAACCGCATTTCGCGCGCTCCTGTGGCTCCGCACCTTACCGATTGGTGGGGCAACTGTCTGCCGTCAGTTACCATGTGGCTCTATTGCGTCGAGTTTTTCCCACTGCGACGGAGTGGCCCTTTGCCTTGCGTAAAGTGCCCATCCAGATACGTACGATCCGACACAAGCCTGCTAGAGGCAAGATAAATGCGAGATGAGTTCTCTTCCTAAGTGCCGCCCCCTATCTGCAGCCGTAGTTACAGGCTTGTAAAACTGCAAAACCCACTCCACTTAGCTTGTGAGCGACCTGGTTACCTTGATTTAGTTTGTGCAAGCACACAAAAAAAGAATAAGCAGAGAGAATACTTGTCTCTCCATCCCCAAGCGGCTCAGCGGCTTTATGTTACATAGAAGACACGATTCACGTGCAAATAGTAATATATATATACACACACACCATCAGTAGGTAAGGCAGCGGTGTCATCCATGTGAAGTCCATACAAATATTACGGAAGATACTATTTTTCCATAGAATCATCTTGTATTTATATGCTTATCGAAGGGGCTAGGTGGTTACTGTACTTATAAATGGGGCATTAGATGCTGCAACAGGAACAACAGCATAGAAAACAGACTAATCATCGGCTTATATTGCTGCTGGTGGAATGGTCAGACAGATGAGCGCTTCGAACACGTAAAGGGTTCTGTACCACTGCCTAGCACTCGATGCATGCGAAGTCCATGCTAGATTAGCACTTAGCTGTATTTGTGAGATACGGTTCTTTATAGGTATCGAGTCGGCACGATATGCTCTCATAAGCATCTGGATTTGAGAGACAAGACAGAACTTTTAAGAAAAAATGCCCTGTAAGTGTCCCCATATTAGCCAATATCGTCTCGTCCCTTCACTACGTGACCACGCATACGAAATGGTACGTGAGTAATTTAGTTCATTAACAGCCGTTTTTATTACGGCGTTAGGATTTTGCACTCGGGGCATTTTGTAGCCTAACGACCTATGTTTCGACTGAGATCTATATAGATCTACTGAAATAAGACTCTATTCATCTTAATTCTTTAAGATACTTTTGTGAGTTTTAGATTAAAGACGACGTGTTTACTATCTATCGATTAATTAATCAGATGAAATGTCGTACAAGCGTAATGGAATCTGCGTATACTACTCAGAACCAGAACAAGTGTTTTGTTCAAGGGAATAATGGCCAAGATCAGCGTGTGATGATTTATTTGTTCGCATCAGGCTTTCAACGCCTGTGACACTGACGGATGTGTTGCCGCTGCTCGGCCAACCAGTAAATCGCATTAAAACTTGATTCTTAGAACCAGGCTGAGCGCGCATCCAAATTAGCATTTGGATGATCGACCATTGAATCTCGCGCATCTGACAAAATTCCTTTGGTATCACCTTAAAATGTACAATAAAGCGCTGTACTGGAGGGGCAGCCGAACGCGGGAGTTGCCCTGTCTGGCTCACTCCTTAAATTTTCGTGGTTGCGAATAACGGGAAGGACTGAACCAGACCAGAATCTAATGCATACTCAACTGAGCCTCTTATAGTTACGTTGCCGTAAAATTTGTGACGGCAGAAAATTTGTTTTTGTCAAGGGATACCCTGCCAGTGCAAGTTGTTCATCGGTCGAATGCGTAAATTACGAAAACAAGCATAAAAGAAATCGATGTTCGAGCGAAATGGCAAAATTATTGAAGTTCGTTATAGATTTACACCGCGCGATATAGTCGTCGGCGGACTGTCGAGGTCGTTTGAAGTAGTTCTACGATTTCGATTGAATAGGCTTCAATCTGTGGCCTTGTGAAAAAGTCCCGTAAAAGCTAGGCGGCACGATTCTAATCCACAAACGTTTTCACTGTTTAAAATGTTATACGTAATTCAGTAAAGAATCATTAGAGAAGGTGTCTTCGCCAATACTCATTTCTCGAACACGATATATAGTACCATTTTTCTCTGTTACAATATACTGTATTGATGCAGTGAAAGGGATGCAACGATCAATAGAAATACAATGTAAGGACATGCAATGTGTACATGTGACTGGCCCGCGTGTACGATAGTTCCCTTAATAAAGAAAAATGCGTTAACTTAACTGAGTTCATCTGTCATTAAAAGTAATGAAAATACCAACATACT